CCCGTGTTATATATCTAAGATCTATAACTATACCTTAGGTTAGTATTAAGCTACAACCTACAACCTACACACAACTCCAACCTTTTTGGCCGAAGTTGCAGGTCCACAGTGACGGCAAGTCAGCGGTCGGTGGCGTGAAGTTTCCAGAAAAAAACTTTGGACTCGGCAGCCAACTTTCTGGTCCTTCCACTGGTGGCTTTGGTAAGTAATTTAAAGGAGATTTCCTACATCATGTTCTATGTGAGGCATTTATAAATGTCTGTATTTACCGTAAATTAAGTAGACGCATTGTTTGTCTTATTTTAAACGAGAAGGAATCATTTCTTTTTTCTAATCCTTAGAGCGACACGGTCAAGGACGTGGTGCCAGACGTAGCGGATATCGTAAAAGATGCGGTAGGGAGCATCGATGACGTCATCGGCGACACCGGTGACGTTGTGGCTGACGTAGGCGACGCCGTGGTCAACGTTGGTGACGTAATCGGCGACGGTGTAGCTGATTTGGGTGACGGTGTCAGCATGTGCTTGATAGGATCGGTGACGTCATCGACGCGCCGGATCTTGGAGACATCGGGGATGGGATCCAGGATGCTGCCGGGAACATCAAAGACGCGGCCGCCGACCTGGTGGGCAAGGCCGGCGATATCGTCGGAGACGTCGACCTTGACCCAGATATCGGCGACATTGGCGAAGGCCTCGGGGAGATCAGCGAAGGCGTCAGCAAAGCCGGCGAGGCGTTGGGTGAACAGAACAGATTGGCGAGCTGGGCGAGGGCGTGGCAGAGTTGGGGGAAGACCTCACCGCGGGCCTTGGGTGAACAGATGGGCGAGCTGGGCGATGGCGTGGCAGAGTTGAGGGAAGACCTCACCGAGGGCCTGGGATCCCTGACCGACGGCTTTGGTGACCTTGGCGACGACGGGAACACGGCGGCGTTGATGTTCGCGTATGTTCTCGGCAACAGTTTTAACCAGCCGAGGACGATCATTAGCAGGGGAGGCAATCCGTACTCGGCACTTCCTATCGCCAGACCGCCCCGGTTACTTCCCCAGGCCGCTCAAGATGCGGCCGCCACGAATTTGGTACTTCTCATGTTAGCCATGTCTGACGATATGGATGACTGGGGAGACGGCCTTGAACTTGACGGTGACTTAGACTTTGAATGGTAAAAACAAAAAAAATAATGTTGAATTAATAAATGCCATAAAATTTATTTATTAAGAAACCAACAAAACCGCTAAGGCTTCGAGAGTTCCGAATACAACTTGTTCCAGAGTTTTCTAACATCTATCACGTGTAACGTGTGTTGCTGATCCTTGACCTTTACCCCCGTGTATTCATGTGTAAACTTACGTGTTGCATCCTACGCGTGAACTCACAACACACACTTTTTTCTATCAATCTTTAAAACAAAACACCATTGCTGTCACCTTAGACAAACAACCCCAATATTTGATTCTTCTTTTGCATTAACAAAATAGTTTAAAATTAAAATAGTCAAATATATACAGTTGTTATGTCATTGCGATATTTACAATACTAGCTGCATACCCGTGCTCCGCCATGGTGATTCTATTTTAAATGTACCAAAATCAGTAAAAAATAAACCGGGAGTGATCTCCCCTAAACTTTCTCGAATATTCTTATATAAAATAACAGGGGATGGGAACTCGGGCTATAGACATGATTTTTAATCCATTTTAAATACTTAAAGTTTTAAAAATAGAATAAAATCTCGTAGACAAAAGAATTGCACATCAAGTGAACGCCAAATAAAAAAGTGCATAAGAGTGCGCAATATTATTAGTACTTTAAAAATTTACATTAGTTTTTTGAGAAATCGGAAGTAGCGTAAAGTACTACTTCCAGTCAACGGAAATGACTCAAAATTTAATAGAAGGTAGAGAATTAGATCTTTTACTTACGTATGAAATTTCATTTATCTATCTGAAATAGTACTCAAGTTATAGGCTTTTGAAAAATTCAAAGTAGGAAAAGTACCACTTCCGGTTATCGGAAATCGCTCAAAAGTTGATACGTATCTACGATTTTGATTAAATACTTATATATGAAATTTCATCAACCTAGCTGTAACGGTACTCAAGTTATCGTGTTTACACACGGACACACACACAGACACACAGACATACGGACAAGATTGCAAAATTATGTTTTTCCGTATCAGTGAGATACAAAACGTCGAGATTTGCAAAAATCTCGATTTTTTTTTTTTGCACGATTACAAGACTCTCTATACTTCGTATATACGAGAAAGTAAAAAGAACAAAACACGATCTAGGTCCACAATAGAACAGCTTATCACACCAAAACAAAATATACACACAACACAGTAGTTTATCACAAAAAACAAATAACAAAATATACACACAACACAACCAAATATTGCAAAAAAAAAAAAAACAAAAAAAAATTTGACATGTCATTTTATTTAGTCAAGCGAACGACAGTAGGGGAAATAATCACTCTTAATATAGACATGGATTGATAAACTTATTTAATTGCAGATTTCAAATTTAAACAGATCAATAACTATTTTACTATTTAATATAGTAGCTTATTACTATTTCCAACATAAATGCTAAAATATCACAGCATAAAAAAGTTTGTGAAAGCTGAGTTGGTATAAAAAAAAACTAATTTCAAAATAACACTATAATTCATAGATGGATCAGTCTCAATACTAGCCTACAAGATATTTATCTTTACACTGTGACTTTCAGATCTTGACATCTTTGAATTAGCCACTGCTTTTTGTGTTCTTCAAAGATTATTTTTTAACATAATGATAAGGAATGGGAGAGATCATTGTACTGTAGTGCGGCTCATACACCACTTTACTGGTAACTGCAAAAACAATATTCACAAAAGTTCACCTGTTACAAATGCTATGATTCTGATTGTAAAATAACAACTAGATCTATAGTTATTCTTTATTTGAAATTTGCTTTATTTATATAGTGGAGGCAGGTTCACTCTTAGTCTTATCCACAGTGTTTATAAACTTTATATATTGGAGGCAGGTTCACTCTTAGCCTTATCCACAGTGTTTTTATACCTAATTTACCTGAGGTATTTAAGTACATGTTCATCAAGTACATGTGTACGTGCTGACCATCTTAACTCATACTAAGGTTCTTGAAGTTGTGTGAGAAAATGGAGTGGTGTGGCAGAGGCGTAGCGACCCTTTTCGGCGCCCAGGGACTCAAACTTTCGATTAGCACCCCCCACCTTAAACTTTCGATTTGCACCCCCCCCCCTCAAACTTTGATTTGCACACCCCCAGTGTTTCTTCCAGACTTTTTGCTCCGGGGGGGGGGGGGGTGCACTTGAAATCTTCGGGGGGGGGGGGGCGGTAAACTTTCTTCGGGGGGGGGCGGACACTGTTAAAAGTATATATTTTCTATATGAATTATATAAATTTCATTTCGTTCGGGCGGGCGGTAAAAAATTTTCGGGGGGGGGGGGGGGGGGGGGGGGCTTTCTGGAAGAAACTCTGCACACCCCCCCTCAACCTTTCAATTTTTTTTCCAACCCATTTTGTCCCCCCCCCCCTACGCCTCTGTGGTGTGGTTTGGGACGGGTGGGTTGGGGTTTGGTATACTGCGTGTATTGTGAGGTTTTTGTGTGTAGTGGAGTAGGCTGTGGTGTATTGGGAATGTCGTGGGATAAGTAACTGGGTGTGGATCATGTAAGTAGGCTGTGGTGTATTGGGAATGGCGTGGGATAAGTAACTGGGTGTGGATCATGTAAGTAGGCTGTGGTGTATTGGGAATGGCGTCGGATAAGTAACTGGGTGTGGATAATGTAAGTAGGCTGTGGTGTATTGGGAATGGCGTGGGATAAGTAACTGGGTGTGGATCATGTAAGTAGGCTGTGGTGTATTGGGAATGGCGTGGGATAAGTAACTGGGTGTGGATCATGTAAGTAGGCTGTGGTGTATTGGGATTGGTGTTTAAGTAACTGGGTGTGGATCATGTAAGTAGGCTGTGGTGTATTGGGAATGGCGTGGGATAAGTAACTGGGTGTGGATCATGTAAGTAGGCTGTGGTGTATTGGGATTGGTGTTTAAGTAACTGGGTGTGGATCATGTAAGTAGGCTGTGGTGTATTGGGAATGGCGTGGGATAAGTAACTGGGTGTGGATCATGTAAGTAGGCTGTGGTGTATTGGGAATGTCGTGGGATAAGTAACTGGGTGTGGATCATGTAAGTAGGCTGTGGTGTATTGGGAATGGCGTGGGATAAGTAACTGGGTGTGGATCATGTAAGTAGGCTGTGGTGTATTGGGAATGGTGTGGGATAAGTAACTGGGTGTGGATCATGTAAGTAGCGCGGCTGCGATGTGGGTTGGGCAATGTACAGTAAAGGGATATAAATCCTGGACAGTGTGTTTTAAATGTGCATTGTAGGGTGTAGTGTTTTTTTTTGCGGGGTGGGGTGTGCGATGTTGTGGTTTAGGATGTCGGGTGGCGTTCAAGAGAGTGTTGAAGTGTGGGCCGGGGTTGTGTGGGGGTTTGGTTAGGGGTGTAGTTCGTGGTGTCGTACTGTGTAAGGTGGTGTGGATTTTGGTATGGGTGAGGGTTGGAGTGTGGTAAATTGTGTGTATGGTGTGGGATAAGTGACTGGGTGTAGATCGTGGGGTTAGTTTTAGGTTATGCTAATGAAGCTTATTTAAAAACACTACTACAATTCAAAAGGGCAAATAACCATTAAAGTATTTGCGATCTCTGTATCAGCTAGCCGATGGCATGATTTGGTGATAACGGCTGGTTGGTTTTAAATATAATAGCTGACCAGAGAGTAAGAATATTGTCTACGATGAGTTGCAAGATTCTACAACTACGTGCTACAGACTTCCTTAAAAAAACTGAAAGAATTATTAAATTCTGTAAATAGCTAGGTTGTATATGCTTAATTATTCTTATTCCGCTTAAAAGCTTATGATTTTACAGTAATTTTATTTTTATTTAAAAAAAAAATCTTGTGAAGCTAGTCAAATAAAAATAAGATACTTTTAATCAGTGTCTTCCTAGTGACCTAAGGTTCTGAAACTGATTTAAAAAAAAAATGATGTTTGCATTATTGAATATATATAGAAACAACTGCTTTTTTTCAATGGTCCAGAAGGGTGATAGAGACATTTGCTTTCTTGTACTGGTCCTGTAGACGCTTTGTCAAATAAAGGTGGCACAATCTGGGGGTAAACAAAACATAATACTTCCAAAATTGGGTCCGTGATAGTGAACAGTCAGTTGTTGAAAGCGTTGTTGTTTCGTGTATCATGTTTCGTGTATCATGTTTCGTGTATCATGTTTCGTGTATCATGTTTCGTGTATCATGTTTCGTGTATCATGTTTCGTGTATCATGTTTCGTGTATCATGTTTCGTGTATCATGTTTCGTGTATCATGTTTCGTGTATCATGTTTCGTGTATCATGTTTCGTGTATCATGTTTCGTGTATCATGTTTCGTGTATCATGTTTCGTGTATCATGTTTCGTGTATCATGTTTCGTGTATCATGTTTCGTGTATCATGTTTCGTGTATCATGTTTCGTGTATCATGTTTCGTGTATCATGTTTCGTGTATCATGTTTCGTGTATCATGTTTCGTGTATCATGTTTCGTGTATCATGTTTCGTGTATCATGTTTCGTGTATCATGTTTCGTGTATCATGTTTCGTGTATCATGTTTCGTGTATCATGTTTCGTGTATCATGTTTCGTGTATCATGTTTCGTGTATCATGTTTCGTGTATCATGTTTCGTGTATCATGTTTCGTGTATCATGTTTCGTGTATCATGTTTCGTGTATCATGTTTCGTGTATCATGTTTCGTGTATCATGTTTCGTGTATCATGTTTCGTGTATCATGTTTCGTGTATCATGTTTCGTGTATCATGTTTCGTGTATCATGTTTCGTGTATCATGTTTCGTGTATCATGTTTCGTGTATCATGTTTCGTGTATCATGTTTCGTGTATCATGTTTCGTGTATCATGTTTCGTGTATCATGTTTCGTGTATCATGTTTCGTGTATCATGTTTCGTGTATCATGTTTCGTGTATCATGTTTCGTGTATCATGTTTCGTGTATCATGTTTCGTGTATCATGTTTCGTGTATCATGTTTCGTGTATCATGTTTCGTGTATCATGTTTCGTGTATCATGTTTCGTGTATCATGTTTCGTGTATCATGTTTCGTGTATCATGTTTCGTGTATCATGTTTCGTGTATCATGTTTCGTGTATCATGTTTCGTGTATCATGTTTCGTGTATCATGTTTCGTGTATCATGTTTCGTGTATCATGTTTCGTGTATCATGTTTCGTGTATCATGTTTCGTGTATCATGTTTCGTGTATCATGTTTCGTGTATCATGTTTCGTGTATCATGTTTCGTGTATCATGTTTCGTGTATCATGTTTCGTGTATCATGTTTCGTGTATCATGTTTCGTGTATCATGTTTCGTGTATCATGTTTCGTGTATCATGTTTCGTGTATCATGTTTCGTGTATCATGTTTCGTGTATCATGTTTCGTGTATCATGTTTCGTGTATCATGTTTCGTGTATCATGTTTCGTGTATCATGTTTCGTGTATCATGTTTCGTGTATCATGTTTCGTGTATCATGTTTCGTGTATCATGTTTCGTGTATCATGTTTCGTGTATCATGTTTCGTGTATCATGTTTCGTGTATCATGTTTCGTGTATCATGTTTCGTGTATCATGTTTCGTGTATCATGTTTCGTGTATCATGTTTCGTGTATCATGTTTCGTGTATCATGTTTCGTGTATCATGTTTCGTGTATCATGTTTCGTGTATCATGTTTCGTGTATCATGTTTCGTGTATCATGTTTCGTGTATCATGTTTCGTGTATCATGTTTCGTGTATCATGTTTCGTGTATCATGTTTCGTGTATCATGTTTCGTGTATCATGTTTCGTGTATCATGTTTCGTGTATCATGTTTCGTGTATCATGTTTCGTGTATCATGTTTCGTGTATCATGTTTCGTGTATCATGTTTCGTGTATCATGTTTCGTGTATCATGTTTCGTGTATCATGTTTCGTGTATCATGTTTCGTGTATCATGTTTCGTGTATCATGTTTCGTGTATCATGTTTCGTGTATCATGTTTCGTGTATCATGTTTCGTGTATCATGTTTCGTGTATCATGTTTCGTGTATCATGTTTCGTGTATCATGTTTCGTGTATCATGTTTCGTGTATCATGTTTCGTGTATCATGTTTCGTGTATCATGTTTCGTGTATCATGTTTCGTGTATCATGTTTCGTGTATCATGTTTCGTGTATCATGTTTCGTGTATCATGTTTCGTGTATCATGTTTCGTGTATCATGTTTCGTGTATCATGTTTCGTGTATCATGTTTCGTGTATCATGTTTCGTGTATCATGTTTCGTGTATCATGTTTCGTGTATCATGTTTCGTGTATCATGTTTCGTGTATCATGTTTCGTGTATCATGTTTCGTGTATCATGTTTCGTGTATCATGTTTCGTGTATCATGTTTCGTGTATCATGTTTCGTGTATCATGTTTCGTGTATCATGTTTCGTGTATCATGTTTCGTGTATCATGTTTCGTGTATCATGTTTCGTGTATCATGTTTCGTGTATCATGTTTCGTGTATCATGTTTCGTGTATCATGTTTCGTGTATCATGTTTCGTGTATCATGTTTCGTGTATCATGTTTCGTGTATCATGTTTCGTGTATCATGTTTCGTGTATCATGTTTCGTGTATCATGTTTCGTGTATCATGTTTCGTGTATCATGTTTCGTGTATCATGTTTCGTGTATCATGTTTCGTGTATCATGTTTCGTGTATCATGTTTCGTGTATCATGTTTCGTGTATCATGTTTCGTGTATCATGTTTCGTGTATCATGTTTCGTGTATCATGTTTCGTGTATCATGTTTCGTGTATCATGTTTCGTGTATCATGTTTCGTGTATCATGTTTCGTGTATCATGTTTCGTGTATCATGTTTCGTGTATCATGTTTCGTGTATCATGTTTCGTGTATCATGTTTCGTGTATCATGTTTCGTGTATCATGTTTCGTGTATCATGTTTCGTGTATCATGTTTCGTGTATCATGTTTCGTGTATCATGTTTCGTGTATCATGTTTCGTGTATCATGTTTCGTGTATCATGTTTCGTGTATCATGTTTCGTGTATCATGTTTCGTGTATCATGTTTCGTGTATCATGTTTCGTGTATCATGTTTCGTGTATCATGTTTCGTGTATCATGTTTCGTGTATCATGTTTCGTGTATCATGTTTCGTGTATCATGTTTCGTGTATCATGTTTCGTGTATCATGTTTCGTGTATCATGTTTCGTGTATCATGTTTCGTGTATCATGTTTCGTGTATCATGTTTCGTGTATCATGTTTCGTGTATCATGTTTCGTGTATCATGTTTCGTGTATCATGTTTCGTGTATCATGTTTCGTGTATCATGTTTCGTGTATCATGTTTCGTGTATCATGTTTCGTGTATCATGTTTCGTGTATCATGTTTCGTGTATCATGTTTCGTGTATCATGTTTCGTGTATCATGTTTCGTGTATCATGTTTCGTGTATCATGTTTCGTGTATCATGTTTCGTGTATCATGTTTCGTGTATCATGTTTCGTGTATCATGTTTCGTGTATCATGTTTCGTGTATCATGTTTCGTGTATCATGTTTCGTGTATCATGTTTCGTGTATCATGTTTCGTGTATCATGTTTCGTGTATCATGTTCTCGTATCATGTCTCACGTATCATGTCTCACGTATCATGTCTCACGTATCATGTCTCACGTATCATGTCTCACGTATCATGTCTCACGTATCATGTCTCACGTATCATGTCTCACGTATCATGTCTCACGTATCATGTCTCACGTATCATGTCTCACGTATCATGTCTCACGTATCATGTCTCACGTATCATGTCTCACGTATCATGTCTCACGTATCATGTCTCACGTATCATGTCTCACGTATCATGTCTCACGTATCATGTCTCACGTATCATGTCTCACGTATCATGTCTCACGTATCATGTCTCACGTATCATGTCTCACGTATCATGTCTCACGTATCATGTCTCACGTATCATGTCTCACGTATCATGTCTCACGTATCATGTCTCACGTATCATGTCTCACGTATCATGTCTCACGTATCATGTCTCACGTATCATGTCTCACGTATCATGTCTCACGTATCATGTCTCACGTATCATGTCTCACGTATCATGTCTCACGTATCATGTCTCACGTATCATGTCTCACGTATCATGTCTCACGTATCATGTCTCACGTATCATGTCTCACGTATCATGTCTCACGTATCATGTCTCACGTATCATGTCTCACGTATCATGTCTCACGTATCATGTCTCACGTATCATGTCTCACGTATCATGTCTCACGTATCATGTCTCACGTATCATGTCTCACGTATCATGTCTCACGTATCATGTCTCACGTATCATGTCTCACGTATCATGTCTCACGTATCATGTCTCACGTATCATGTCTCACGTATCATGTCTCACGTATCATGTCTCACGTATCATGTCTCACGTATCATGTCTCACGTATCATGTCTCACGTATCATGTCTCACGTATCATGTCTCACGTATCATGTCTCACGTATCATGTCTCACGTATCATGTCTCACGTATCATGTCTCACGTATCATGTCTCACGTATCATGTCTCACGTATCATGTCTCACGTATCATGTCTCACGTATCATGTCTCACGTATCATGTCTCACGTATCATGTCTCACGTATCATGTCTCACGTATCATGTCTCACGTATCATGTCTCACGTATCATGTCTCACGTATCATGTCTCACGTATCATGTCTCACGTATCATGTCTCACGTATCATGTCTCACGTATCATGTCTCACGTATCATGTCTCACGTATCATGTCTCACGTATCATGTCTCACGTATCATGTCTCACGTATCATGTCTCACGTATCATGTCTCACGTATCATGTCTCACGTATCATGTCTCACGTATCATGTCTCACGTATCATGTCTCACGTATCATGTCTCACGTATCATGTCTCACGTATCATGTCTCACGTATCATGTCTCACGTATCATGTCTCACGTATCATGTCTCACGTATCATGTCTCACGTATCATGTCTCACGTATCATGTCTCACGTATCATGTCTCACGTATCATGTCTCACGTATCATGTCTCACGTATCATGTCTCACGTATCATGTCTCACGTATCATGTCTCACGTATCATGTCTCACGTATCATGTCTCACGTATCATGTCTCACGTATCATGTCTCACGTATCATGTCTCACGTATCATGTCTCACGTATCATGTCTCACGTATCATGTCTCACGTATCATGTCTCACGTATCATGTCTCACGTATCATGTCTCACGTATCATGTCTCACGTATCATGTCTCACGTATCATGTCTCACGTATCATGTCTCACGTATCATGTCTCACGTATCATGTCTCACGTATCATGTCTCACGTATCATGTCTCACGTATCATGTCTCACGTATCATGTCTCACGTATCATGTCTCACGTATCATGTCTCACGTATCATGTCTCACGTATCATGTCTCACGTATCATGTCTCACGTATCATGTCTCACGTATCATGTCTCACGTATCATGTCTCACGTATCATGTCTCACGTATCATGTCTCACGTATCATGTCTCACGTATCATGTCTCACGTATCATGTCTCACGTATCATGTCTCACGTATCATGTCTCACGTATCATGTCTCACGTATCATGTCTCACGTATCATGTCTCACGTATCATGTCTCACGTATCATGTCTCACGTATCATGTCTCACGTATCATGTCTCACGTATCATGTCTCACGTATCATGTCTCACGTATCATGTCTCACGTATCATGTCTCACGTATCATGTCTCACGTATCATGTCTCACGTATCATGTCTCACGTATCATGTCTCACGTATCATGTCTCACGTATCATGTCTCACGTATCATGTCTCACGTATCATGTCTCACGTATCATGTCTCACGTATCATGTCTCACGTATCATGTCTCACGTATCATGTCTCACGTATCATGTCTCACGTATCATGTCTCACGTATCATGTCTCACGTATCATGTCTCACGTATCATGTCTCACGTATCATGTCTCACGTATCATGTCTCACGTATCATGTCTCACGTATCATGTCTCACGTATCATGTCTCACGTATCATGTCTCACGTATCATGTCTCACGTATCATGTCTCACGTATCATGTCTCACGTATCATGTCTCACGTATCATGTCTCACGTATCATGTCTCACGTATCATGTCTCACGTATCATGTCTCACGTATCATGTCTCACGTATCATGTCTCACGTATCATGTCTCACGTATCATGTCTCACGTATCATGTCTCACGTATCATGTCTCACGTATCATGTCTCACGTATCATGTCTCACGTATCATGTCTCACGTATCATGTCTCACGTATCATGTCTCACGTATCATGTCTCACGTATCATGTCTCACGTATCATGTCTCACGTATCATGTCTCACGTATCATGTCTCACGTATCATGTCTCACGTATCATGTCTCACGTATCATGTCTCACGTATCATGTCTCACGTATCATGTCTCACGTATCATGTCTCACGTATCATGTCTCACGTATCATGTCTCACGTATCATGTCTCACGTATCATGTCTCACGTATCATGTCTTACGTATCATGTCCTAAACGCACAACCAGACGAACACACATCAAACAGACCTTAAAGTCCTTAAGCCGAGTACTCTTGCAGGAGATCTGCCCATGATGGGTCCACTCGATGGGTCCACTCGATGATGGGTCCACTTGATGATGGGTCCACTCGATGATGGGTCAAACAGATGATGGGTCCACTTGATGATGGGTCCACTCGATGATGGGTCCACTATATGAAGGGTCCACTTGATGATGGGTCCACTTGATGATCGGTCGAATTGATGATGTGTCAACTTGCTGGGTCCACTCGATGATGGGTCCACTTGATGATGGGTAGACTATATGAAGGGTCCACTTGATGATGGGCCCGCTCGATGATCGGTCGACTTGATGATGGGTCCACTTGCTGGGTCCACTCGATGATGGGTCCACTCGATTATGGGTGGACTTGATGAGGGGTGCACTCGATGATGGCGTGTAAAGTAGCTGTCGACAGCATCACATAAATGTTCTCCCCAACTTCCGGTGAAAGTTCCGGTATCCAAATCACCCTGTGATGAAATAAGTAATAACATAATGAAGAATTTCGTAATGTTTGTCATCTTATCAACGATTTAATAAACTTGTTGTTTTGTTATACGGTAATTTATTTTTATCTTACAGTGTATTACTTTATTTCCATCATTCAGAACAAAGAGGAGAATACTTTGTATTGACTTCAGTGTTTTATTATTTACAGCAGACAACTCTGACTATACGTTAACAGACTGAACATTCAAGGGAAGTAGCTATGATATGTATAATACAAGGGACGTAACAATAACTAACAAGATATAATTTAAATCTTACTAAAATATTTTCATATTCTATATATATTGTATTATGTCTTTTGTGTCTATGGTCGAATCGTTTAGGAAATGGTCCTGTATAACATAATTTTGAAAAAAAGACATGCTATAAATGTAGACCTTTATAATTTTCTCGGGCAAAAAAATACTTTAAAAAACAACACGAATAACAGCCGGGCTTTCAACGGAATCCTTTTTTAAGTCTGTTAATCAGTTTGTGCATTTAATATGGTTTTGCGTTGACTAATAATGTATATAATTTGGTTTTTCTAATAGGTATTGGTAGCCTATGTTATTTTAAAGGTGTCGGATTTTTAGCTATTTAGTTATTTCTTTATTGTGTCACTAATATCGTTCAACGTGTAGTAAAGAACATTGCGTGTTGGCCAATAACTATTTTATAAATTATTTTTCTCAAACAAGAATAACAAAAATGAGGGATATAATGACGGGTGCCGATGGCTAGTAGTTTACCATAGGTATTCAAGGCTATGCAAAGTAAATATCTCATGCTACTAACTACTTTATATACTTCGTATATTTCGTTTAGACCTATATGAGTAAGTGAAAAGTAAAAACTTAAAAATGTTAGCCCTTATCAATTTTAAATATTCTGTACAATGATAGTATACAAAACTTACCTCAACCCTCGTCATCAATGTGATGCTGTTATGTAAATCAGCGTTGTTTCATGGCAGTAATAAAGATAAGTTATCCAGACACATGAAATATGAGCACCTCGTCGTTAATGGGATGCTGTTATGTAGGTCGGTGCTGTTTCAAGGCCATGAGATAGATAAATTATCCAAGCACATGAAACATTTTATTGAAATTCCTAAATTCAAGATGGAGGTCTCAGTCCAAAGGATCAGCGCCTGTTCCCAAAGACACATTACTAGATTCTGCACTAACGTTTGGCCTACACTGCGCATGTCATCTCACAATATCCTGTCACACAATGAACTTTTACTATCCTAGGCACTTGTCAAAACAAACACGGGTACTGGATGACATTCTATTTGCCACTGTGCTACACACATCCATTGGCGGAACTAGAAAAAAGCCCACCCGTAGAATTTTTTTTGGGCCCCTATATATATATATATATATATATATATATATATATATATATATATATATATATATATATATATATATATATATATATATATATATATATATATATATATATATAAAACAATGTATGTATGTGTGTGTATGTTTTGTATGCATTACTACACCTCTTATCACATCGCCGTGAAACTTTGGGATGTTTTTGAGAATATTTCTGCGGAGGTTACTGCGAAAAAACATATTTCAAATTCGTGGGGTGGCGCCCTGGCAGGGCGCGATTTGTTTTTTTCTCTATATACGGTATATAAAAATAAAAGTCGATTTTGGTTTGACACCATTCATCCTATCGCCATCAAACTTTGGTGAGTTCCTTAGAACACTCTGGGGAAGGTTTCTGTAAAAAATCATTTTTATTTTCGCAAGGGCGGCGCCATGGGAGGGTGCGATTTTTCTCTATATACAGTATATAAAAATAAAAGTCGATTTTTATTTGAAACCGTTCATACGATAGGCATGAAACTTTGGGGACTTCATTATAACACTCTATGAGAAGGTTCTGTAAAAAATCATTTTTAATTTCGCAAGGGCGGCGCCACGGGAGGGTGCGATTTTTCTCTATGTACGGTCTATTAAAAAAAGTCGATTTTAATTTGACACCCTTCATACGATAGTAGGGGGTCGGCTCATGGTTGCTAAACCGAAAAGTCTCGAGTTCGAACCCTCGGGCAGACGAGGCTCGTTAGCTGGGGACAGGAGAGACAACTCCAAAAATCAAACAACTGCTGCCTTGTAGTTTGTTCTTGGTTGGACAAAGGCTATGGAAGCAAATCCAAAAAGAAAAGCAGGCTGAAATCAGAGTTAATGGCCTCAATGGCGCATAACAAGTTGACACGCTTAATTGTGTTGGAGGCGTGGTCGAGTCGGCAAAAAGCTCATGGTTGATGAATTCGAACTAAGTCTCGAGTTCAAACCCACTGGCAGATAAATCTCGATCCCCTTCAACACTAAAATTAAGAACGAAGAAGAAGATAGGATATTCATTAAACTTTAGGGAATTCATTATAACACTCTAGGAAAGGGTTCTGTAAGAAATCATTTTTAGTTTCGCAAGGGCGGCGCCACGGGAGGGTTCGATTTTTCTCTATGTACGGTAAATAAAAATAATAAAAGTGAATTGCAGTGACACCGTTCACACGATCGCCATGAAACTTCGGGAAGATGTTGAGAATATTCATGGGGAGGTTTTTGGGTAAAAAACATTTTCAAATTCGCAAGGGTGGCGCCCCGGCAGGGCGCGATTTGTTTTCTCTCTATATAAGGTATATAAAAATATAAGTCGATTGTGGTTTCACACCGTTCATAGATAGCCATCAAACTTTTGGGAGTTGATTAGAACACTCCAGGGCGCGATTTGTTTTCTCTCTATATAAGGTATATAAAAATATAAGTCGATTGTGGTTTCACACCGTTCATAGATAGCCATCAAACTTTTGGGAGTTGATTAGAACACTCCAGGGAAGGGTTCTGTAAAAAAATCATTTTTAATTTCGCATGGGCGGCGCCACGGGATGGTGGGATTTTTCTCTATATACGGCAAATAAAAATAAAAGACGATTGCGTTCGACACATTTTATCCGGGTGCCATAAAACTTTAGGGAGCGGGAGTGGGGGTGGGTGTCGGGGGGAGAATGATTTGATTTTGCATGGGTGGCCGCCCGGCAGGATGCGATTTGGCGCCCTTGTCTTTCCTGTGAGCGCTACGGTGACTACGATCGGTCTAAACAGTGTGATAGACAATGGATAGGATGGAGCGTTACAAATGCTCACTAAATTGAATCAGGCGTGTCCACTGGCGCCCTGGTAGGGTGCGATTTGGCTGCAAATAAAAATGTCTCTTTCGGCCCCCAAAATTTCACATGGGCCGCTGAGGGCCATATAATACGTTTTATTTTAATAATCAGAAAAATTAACTAAGGTTAGATTATTAACTGAGATTTTTTTAAAGTGCGCGTAACTAACAATCGATTAATTAAAAGTAAGAATGACCAAACCGATCAAACCATTGTAAAAAAAGGGATGACAGGACTTAATTTTGAGTGTTTTAGAAACACAACCCACAAAGTCGAGACCAGCTTATGTCTGGTTACATAACATTTTTGAATGAAGTAACCGATGTTACATAACCTGTGACATTGTTACGTCATTTACGACATCGCGTTGTCAGGCTAAAAAAAATCAACAGTATATTTTGTTGCGACAAGGAAAGGGAATGGGGGTGGGAAGGGGAGTTTAATTTTATCATCACTGTTCAATAATGCAGTATTAAAGAAATCTTCTGAAATATGAGTTTCAACTGCGGAAAAGGAAACAATTTATTGTTTATTACATTATTGTGAGAAATAGGGGTGTCAGAACAGATCAAACCATTGTGAAAAAAAGGGATGCCAGATTAGTTTTGAGGGTTTTAGAAACACGTGAAGTCAAGCAACGTCTGGCGTGGTTAGTAGTTAGATGGGTGACAGCTTGTGAACACCACGTGCTGTAGATTGAATTTTTTTTTTTTTTTTTTAATTTTTATTTTTTTATAAAAATGTATTCTTTACTTTTTTTTCAGAAATAAATAGAAGACGAAGGTTGAAGTTATTTTTCTTGAGTTATTTTTAATCAACGAATATTAGTTTTTAAGTGCGTGTTGCTTATGTCAAAAGGTTCATGTAGACATCATTATAAGATACTACTTTTTTGTTATTGTATATCTACGGCCATACAATGTTGAACATACCGGTTCTCGTCCGATCACCGAAGTCAAGCAACGTCTGGCGTGGTTAGTACTTAGATGGGTGACCGCTTGGGAACACCACGTGCTGTAAATATAATTTTTTCATTTTTTTCAAACATTTAGAATTGGGGGTGGGGGGGGGGTGAAATTTATATTGTTGACAAACCTGTTTAATGAATATGGAATCTTCTGAAAAGGGGTGTTAGGCTACGGAAAGTAGTAGGCCTAAAGTATTAGGTTGTTTATTAAAACATCCTTCGGAAATTGAAAGCCAACCATTACATATTATTAATCAAACCCAAATCCAAGTTATAACAAAGCCCAAACCCTAATCCTTGTCCAAATTACTGTAGGTAATAATACTATGATTCCGTCATTATAACACACCTCTTATAGGAAGAGTCTATTAGTTTGATACCAATATTAAGACATTTTTTTACATGCGCGTGCAGAAAATTAAGTAAAGAAGTAGGGGTGTCAGAACAGATCAAACAATTGTGAAAAAAAGGGATGACAGGACATAATTATGAGTTTTTTAGAAACACAACCCACAAAGTCGAGACCAGCTTATGCCTGGTTACATAACATTTTTGAATGAAGTAACTGATGTTACATAACCTGTGACATTGTTACGTCATTTACGACATCGCGTTGTCAGGCTAAAAAAAAAGTCAACAGTATATTTTGTTGCGACAAGGAAAGGGAATGGGGGTGGGAAGGGGAGTTTAATTTTATCATCACTGTTCAATAATGCAGTATTAAAGAAATCTTCTGAAATATGAGTTTCAACTGCGGAAAAGGAAACAATTTATTGCTTATTACATTATTGAGAGAAATAGGGGTGTCAGAACAGATCAAACCATTGTGAAAAAAAGGGATGTCAAGATTAATTTTGAGGGTTTTAGAAACACGTGAAGTCAAGCAACGTCTGGCGTGGTTAGTAGTTAGATGGGTGACAGCTTGTGAACACCACGTGCCGTAGATTGAATTTTTTTTATTTTTTTATTTTTTTTTTTCCTTTTTTTTTCAGAAATAAATAGAAGACGAAGGTTGAAATTTTTTTTCTTGGGTTATATTTAATCAACGAATATTAGTTTTTTAGTGTGTGTTGCTTATGTCAAAAGGTTCATGTAGACATCATTATAAAATACTACTTTTTTGTTATTGTATATCTACGGCCATACCATGTTGAAGATACCGGTTCTCGTCCGATCACCGAAGTCAAGCAACGTCTGGCGTGGTTAGTACTTAGATGGGTGACCGCTTGGGAACACCACGTGCTGTAGATAGATTTTTTTCATTTTTTTCAAACATTTAGAATTGAGGGTGGGGGGGGGGGGGTGAAATTTCTGTTGTTGGCAAACCTGTTTAATTAATATGGAATCTTCTGAAAAGGGGTGTTAGGCTACGGAAAGTAGTAGGCCAAAAGTATTAGGTTGTTTTTTAAAACATCCTTCGGAAATTGAAAGCCAACCATTACATATTATTAATCAAACCCAAATCCAAGTTATAACAAAGCCCAAACCCTAATCCTTGCCCAAATTACTGTAGGTGATAATCCGAGATTATTTTTATTATAACACACCCTTTATAGGAAGAGTCTATTAGTTTGATACAAATATTAAGAGATTTTTTTTTAAGTGCGCGTAACTAACAATCGATTAATAAAAAGTAGGGGTGACAAAACCGAGCAAACCATTGTGAAAAAAGGGATGACAGGACTTCATTCTTGAGTGTTTTAGAAAAACAGCTCACAAATTCGAAACCGACTACACCGTTACATAACACTTTATAAAGACATAACTGATTTTACGTAACCTGTGATCTTGTTACGTCATCCACGACTCCGATGTTTAGCTGTTGGACTTTTAAAAATTGTGAACACTTTTCATGAACGAGATAGAAGGGCGGAGGGGGGGTGGGCTGATTGTATTGTGATTGGCACAATTATTAAAGAATTATGGAATCTTCTGAAAAGGGGTGTTAGGCTACGGAAAGTTGTAGACCTAAACTATTAGATTGTTTATTAAACATCCTTCGGTAATTGGAAGCCAACCATTATATTATTAATCAAACACAAATCCAAGTTATACCATAGCTCTAACCCTAATCCTTGTCCAAATTACTGTAGGTAATAATACTA